TGCCAGCAACTTGAGAAAACAAATGCTTTAACAATTTCGCGTTTTATACAAGAAACATTAGCAACTTTTTTTCTTCCGACAACTATTCCTTCTAATAAATTACTGCTTATTTTATCGGATGCTGCTCCTTATATGGTGAAAGCAGGACAAAATTTAAAAATATTTTTCCCAGATTTAATACATGTCACTTGTGTAGCGCATGGATTAAACAGAGTTGCAGAGGAAATACGAAAAAAGTTTCCTCTTGTAAATACCATGATATCCAGTGTCAAAAAAGTATTTCTTAAATCTCCTATAAGAATTCAACTTTATAAAGAAATGCTACCGAAGTGAGAGCGCCCACCAAAGTGGCGTGGCAGTGGCAAGTAGCAAGTAGCACGCGTCTAGCATAATGTAACCAATCCTAACGAATGATTAGAATGAATGACGTTACTGTCATTTTGGTGTAAACTGAATCATTCGTTTTCATTGGTTACATTATGCTAGACGCGTGCTACTTGCTACTTGCCACTGCCACGCCACTTTGGTGGGCGCTCGCCCTAACATTCCTCTTCCACCACAACCTATTTTAACGCGATGGGGAACATGGTTAGAAGCAGCTAATTTTTATGCAGATCATTTTGTTAAAATAAAGAACATAATTGATACGTTAACAGATGAAAGTTCCCAATCTCTTTTGGATTCTAAACAAACTTTTCAGAGTAACTTGCTTCAACAAGAACTTTCATTTATAAAATCATTTTAGTTTTATTAAAAAAACAATTACTCAGTTAAAATCACCAAAACTGTCATTGTTCGAAAGTACAGCATTAATAAAAGAATTTGCGTCATGTTGTCGGAACGTTAGAGGTAATATTGGACAAGATATTTTAAAAAAATTTGAAGCTACTATGGAAAAAAATAAAGGTTACCATATTCTTTCTGAAGTAGTCAGTGTTCTAGCTGGAAATATTTCGGAAACAATTAATTTAGAACCAAATGTTTTGGTTAGTTTGAAAAATGCTCCCGTTACATCAGTTGATGTTGAACGAAGTTTTTCCATATATAAATATATGTACTCAGACAGAAGCCACAAGTTTTTGTTAGAAAATTTTGAACACCACTTGGTCATTTATTGTTACCATAATTCTAAATAAGTTTATTCATACTTAAAAATGATGTAGTTACTTAAAATAAATGTAAATCTTAATGAATAGTAGGAAATATTTAGTTATGTACACTTTTTTTTTAAATACAATTGTTACTATTTTACGATTTTTTTATTTATTTGTATGCATATTTTGTAAAATATTTGCATATTTTCGGGTAAACACGTGCATATTTATGCGCATATTTTCTACATTTTTATTTGCATATTTGCCGAAGTCTAATTATAATACAACATAAAATGCTAATGAGCAAACTCTAAGGGTTTAGGCCACAATTTCACACTTCAGTGGTGGAGAATATGAGTTTACTTTAGAATAGTATCCACACACAGGTTTTTTTAATATTCAGGTTAAATTTAATAATTAAAATAGAAGATTCGAAATAAGCATCTTTCGTGATTTAGTTCAAGGTCATATACATAAATTATCATAAATAATAGAATAAAGAATACGTGAATTTACAATAGAAAGACCTGTTACTCAGCCTTGAGAATGAGCAGAAATGATGTATTTAAAGCGACTTTCGGTTTTACTAGGTTTAACTAAGTAGTTGTGTTTTGATAGTGACACAATGTAGACACCGTCTTTTGTTTACAATTGAAATTGAAGAGGAATAGGCCCATCCAAGAAATGATCGATGCCTTCGAAACACTGGCTGGTGTTTTCATTAAGAAGGTGCGATGTAAGAAGCTGCGAGGCCACATAATCGGAGTTCTGTAGTTCATTGAGTTCATCGGAACTACGTCGAAGATCCAGCCCATGAAATGTGCAAGTAAGAACAAAATCACATGTGAAATATACACATACATACATGGCCTTCCTTATTTTGTCATGATGTTGCCCTTTAAATGTGGTTTCTTTCTGTATGTGTTATCATCTTTATATTCACTCATGAATCCATAACCGATTTTTGTCCTTTTCAAATTTGCTCTTTCCTTTGCGGCTATGTTCCTAAGTTTTCTTTCTATTTATATCTCTTTTAGTGTCAGGTCACATTCTATGTATACTTGTTGCTTATATCTGGTTAATTTACCTTGACTTTTTAATATTCAGGTTAAATTATTCAGAAGCTTAGAAATAAGCATCTTTCGTGATTTAAAGCATGTTCTCTAGACTTAACCCTAACCCTGAACTGAACAAGTCTTGAATATGCATAAAACTAAACAAGTGTAAGTTCTTCTTCTTTACGTGCCATCTCAGCGATGTAGGTTGGCAATGGATATTCTGATCTTAGATGCGGCTGTTCTGAATAGTTCGACTGATGTGCGTCTGTACCATTCTCTCAAGTTAAAGCACCATGAGATTCTTCTCCTTCTTATACTTCTTTTGCCCTGGATCTTCTCTTGTATAATCAGTATAAGCATAATTTTCGTGTTTTGTTTGCTTCCATTCTTTTGTTCTCATGACTTCGTTATTTGCTACATGCCGATCCATGATATCTTCAGGATTCTTTTGTATATCCACAGTTCGAATGCTTCCAGCTTCTTAAGGTTTAAGGGTCCACGTCTCCATTCTGCCGAGTCGAGAAAATATATCACCAAGTCTAATTCTGAAGTCTTCATCTAACTATATCCGCATGATAAAATACTATATACATAGTATCCTACTATACTTCATCTAATTTATTTACCACTGCACGTCATCCGCGAGTTACAGTACAATGACCGCTGCCATCCAGTAAATTCTACCACGTGGATTCCACACGGGACTACCGCTCGATCATTCTGGACTGAATTGCAACGTATTGGACTGCAAGATCAGCAATTATAAAATTATAAAAACACTATGTAAAAATCAATATTTTCAGTAGGATTTATAATTCAATCTGATTTAAATTATTGTTGTTGTTACTAAAATCTTTGTAAGTCGAAAATAAAAGTGAATTGTGAATTCAGTTTTTAAAAAAGTGTTTTTCCCAAGAACATTCATAATTGGCGCAGAGTCAGTACGGAAGTGAAAGAGCCTTTATAGATCTTCGTCACTTTTGAGTGTTTGTCCACTGTTTCAAGAACCAGCCCCAGGGAAACTGTCTGCAGAGTTCACCCGAGGGAATTAGAAGTTAGAAGCCTTCAGGAGCAAAGGAATGCACATTGGCATCGTCTTTATCCTGTAAGCCATTTTTATTATTACTTAGAATTAAGAAGATAAAATTTTGAAAGAATTTTTATAAAATCCGACTCCTCTGAGTCCTTAGATTGAATCAGAGCTAGATTAGAAAATAAATTAAACAAAGATTTGAATAGATTAACAGAAAGATTAAAACAATTTAAAAATATCTCCTCTAAGTCCTTAGATTGACTTTAGAGTCAGATTCAGAAACTTCAAATTTAAAGACAAATTTAAATAGCTCTTAATAAATACTATATTAATAAACATAGAGATTAATAGATAGAAAATAAGTAGATTAAGATTGATAAATTTATATATTGACTATTGAAAATTACTATACTGATTTGACTATTGACTATATATTATATTGAATTTTTTTAAAATATGGCAGTTCCACAATTTGACGTTAAAAATTTATGCATTCTTCCAAATTTTGACGGAAATCCAAATGAATTACATGAATTTATTAAAGTTTCTACAATACTTCTGAACCATTATTATGACAGAGTTAATGCAGCTAATATACAAAACAAATTTTTGCTTCACGGTATTATCAGTAAATTAACAGGTAGAGCCAAAGAATTTATATCTGTATATGGATGCGAAAGTTGGGACGAAAAAAAAACGCATTAATTCAAAAATTTGGAGACCAGAGAGACGAAAATTCGCTTACAATGGACCTAGTAAATTTAAGACAAGGCTCAACAGAATCTATTATGTATTTTAACGAAAAGATCATGGGACTTTTAAGCTGTATTAATAATTACCTAGAATTACATACCATAAATGCCGATATTAAGAGAAACAAACAAGAATTTTACCATCAACAAGCTCTTACAATATTCTTAGGAGGTCTACGAGAACCAATGGGCTCTGTTATCAGAGCAATGAGACCAGGAAGTTTAGCCTCGGCAATACAATACGTACAGGAAAAAAATAATGTTCGATACCTTCAAAAAAATCAAATAAGTCAACCTTCAACATCAGGAAGAAGCGAAAATTATCAAGAACGCCCACCTCAGAGACAGCAGATACCTGTACCTATCCAGAAACCATTGGATCAACAGCAAAATTTTGCAGGCCCAAACTAGAGGAATTTGCAGAAGCCAACGCTAAGGCATTTACAGAAGATAAACCTATCATCGATCACAGATAGCCAGTTAATTTTAATTTGCAAAATAAAACATTACAAATAGATAATATGGACTGTTTTATAAATCGCCAATCATTAACTGTTTTGCAATCGACATGATAATAATAAACAAAAACAAACTGAACTTAAACTACTTAAGAATAAATAACAAACTTTAATGAAGTGAGAAGGGAAATTTCAAATATAATGCACCAATTTGTTATCTTTATTTCCATTTTCACATTACTTATCTTTACCTGATCCAAATGTATAGCAAAAATATCATAGCTCTCTTGATTTACCTGTTGCAAACAGAAAATAAAATAATACCTTTCATTTCATGAAACATAACTCTGTTCCCTCAGTATGGTGGAAAAATAATCTCAATTTTTAAAAATAACTTTTAAAAACAGCTTTGAATTTTGAATATAAAAAGTCAATAATAAAGAAGTTATTTTACAATTGTGGTTCATCCTAAAAAGATTATTTGTCAAGGAGGACCAATAAACAATAACTAATTATTAAAAAGATTGATGTTCCATACATCATAAAGTAATTACAATTAAAATTATGGAACTGTTATGGAAGTAAAACATAAAGTATTTACTCACCAGGCAAGCATATAAAGTGCAAAAAAAGTTGTATAATCTCTGTACAGGCTTGTGAAACGATTTGTCTGCATTGCATAACCATTGGAGAGCAGATATGCTTATAGCACCATCAAATGTTCCTAAAATAATATAATTTCTTTAAATAAACTAAACATATACATTACTATATATTATACTATAATATATACTATATTATACATTATAGTGTTATACTACAACTACACTGTGATATAAGTAGTAGAATGTAATATAAGTTTTCTTTTAACACCAACACAACTTAGGACTGTAATAATATGTAGTGTGTTATGTTTTGAACCTAAGGAATAAAATGGAGGTAACAGGATCTTAGCTGGGCTTTAAGTGCCTATTCATGATGTTTCTTAAAGGACCTATTACATATAGACAAAACAACTAATATTTTATGTCAGCATTGTTTTGTGTGATAAAAACTATAAGTTTAAGCCGAAAAATCCAAATCATCCACCAAGCTCTTTTTGAAAAAAATGAATTTTATTGATTGGCTTAAGAGCAGTATATCCAAATGTTTATCGCAATAACGATCCATTCTCTGAAAATATATATGTATATCTATACAGATTTGGAAAAAAAATTACGGAACATAGGATTTTTAATACAGCTCAAATCCTTTGATGTGCAATTAACCAGTGTAAATTTCAATACAACGTCGTGATGTTTTATAATTAATTCATTTGTTCGATTGGAGTCTGAATTCATACCGCGATGCTGCCAGTGTAAGTGTAAAAACGGAACACACCTAGTCACATGTCAATTCAACGAAAACGTACTTATTTATAAATGTAGATATGAAAATATTTTATAATTAAAAAAATGGTTGTTTTATTGCCAAAACGGCTTGAAAAAAGTTGATTTCTAAAATTAAAAATAAAAAGGAATTTTAAGAATGAAATAATTATATTACACTCTTTTTAATTTGAAATTATAAACAATATTTGGAATAATAAATGTATTTAAGTATAAATTTTATAACTCAAATAATACCTAATGAACACAAACAAAATTGATGTTAATAAGACATTATTTATTATCTGCACAAAACCGGACTTTCGGGAAAAATCGGTAGACAGAGCAACACTGTCGGCGTGCCATATATGCTACTATAAACCGCTGAGGAGAAGTAATCCAGTGGAACAAATAAATTAGTTATAAAATATCGCGACGTTATAAAGAAATTTACACTGGTTAATTGCAACGCAGAGAATCTTAGTATTTGTATTAAAAACCCTATGTTCCGGATTTAAAATTCCAAATGTGTATATCTATGTAGTATATGTATGTATCTATGTGATATATTATACATATATACAATTTTTCAAAGTAAAACACTTGCACATCACGATTTATACAAAGTGACGTCACTTGTATTTAAAATTTCCAGAACATCAACATTATAGTTCAAATTTTCCTAACACAGCTAATAATACGAAACCCATAAGGGACTGCTCGATCTTTCATAGGCGTCAATATGGTGTTACAATCAGAAACATATAATCATCATTATATTGTGTTTTGCCTTGCAATTCTTAGAAGGCAAAGATTAAAGCAAAAATCTGAATTCTAATATCAGATGTCGCTATTTGCTTCTATACGAAACCTTGCTTCTTAAGACAGAAAAGATTTATTTTCATGTTCAGAACGCCTGTGAATAGCTATTCTGATGAGCCCTATTAGGGCGAAATACATATAAGCAGATACACAGACGCATTGTACGTGAAATCAAATCTTGACTGTCTTTTTCTTTTTATTCGGATATACTCTGTATGAGTACAAGAAACCAATTCGCTAAGGATTTTTGCTTAGTTGAGGATATATGTTGTGGAATGCAAATTTTAGATTCCACGTGTCTCTATTAACATCTTTATCAATGTCTGTTTTACCTTGCAATTCTTAGAAGGCACAGATTAAAGCAAAAATCTGAATTTGGTTTTGAAAATTAGTTTACGGATTCTAAAAGTAGTTCATTTACCTGCTTTAAATGGACATCCTTGGCCCATATCAGACAACACAAGGTCCCCTTCTACTTCTCGTTCCACTGCAATATCTAAAATAATAAAAGTAATATATAAGTGTATATATAAAAACAATTAAAAACTTTCAGCCAAACTTATGGCTTTGAAGCACAAACTAATCAAACCTTTCACATTTGAATTAATATCAATAGAGTGATGTAACTGTTATTTCGGTGTCCCCAAAATTCAAATGCAGAACGTCTAACCAATGTCTCTAAAATAGTCTTCCTACTTTAGGGTTAGCGTACCGAGGTACCATCTACTTTGTTGGCCATGTACGAAAATTATTTAATAATATCATTTTCTGTACAGAAAGCAATAAAAGAAAACTCGAAGCAACAGAAATGGATGTATTTAGACGATCACTTCAAATATCTAGGGCAGACAGAATTAGAAACAATGAAATAAGGAATCGGATGGGGGTAGATGGATCACTGGCAACAGACATAGAAAGGAAACAACTTATATGGTATGGCCATGTTCAAAGAATGCCAGAAGCAAGACTACCAAAAATCGCCATGAAATGGATCATAAGAAACGAGGAAGACAAAAAAGAACATGGAAGGAGGGAATAACAAAGGCAACAAGCTCCTGAGACTTGACTGAAGAACAATGGAATGATAGAAATTCGTGGAAATTAGACATCAGACAATGACGCAAGACAATAATACGAAACTGATTATATATATACATCATTTTCTGTCCCTCTGGGCTATTGAAATATGCAAATGCCAAATGTATGGTGTTGCGTCCTCTAAAAAGGTCTTTTAAATATAGTATAAAGTAGAGATAAGAGTTATTTGAATTTATTACTTAAGTATGTAGGTTTTCTCCAAAAATATTTAATTTTTACTTATTTTAGTGACACTCCATCCAATCTTTTTTAAAAATTGTAAATTTTTTTTAAATAAACATGTAACCATAAAGCAAATGTAAGCAAGGAATTATTAATTTTTAATATAGTTTATTAATGTCAGTATGTAAGATCTAGATCACTGTCATGACAAGCTTTTTAAAGTTTACTTTACCTAACATAGCTTCTGCTATATCCATGCCAATCCAAAAATGTCCTTGATCTTCTAACACACTTCCGCTAAGACCTGATCCACAACCAAGATCCAAAAGAAAACAGGGTTTATCTTCTGGTAGTAACAGTAATTCAATGGCCCTTTCACTCATCTGAACTTGAATATCAATAATTCTAGTGCTGAAAGATTATTTATGTAAATTTATTGCTAATAATATTACTCCTAAATAAAAATGAATGTATATTTTATGACTAAATTTTATTTAGACCACTAATTAAAAGGTAAAACGGTAATATTAGTATTATTAAGTTAGTTATCTATACGTACTTTTGGGTATATTTTCGGGCTTCATCTTGATTATAAAACTGAAAAATTTAGGTTTTAGTCAAAGAAATTTAAGTAAATATAAAAACATAAAGACTTACAATTTCGGGGGGTGAAAGATGCTCAGGTCTCGACATTTTAATTAAAATTAAGTTTAATTCGTTGATGAACTTATCAAAAAATATCAAGAATACGTAAATATTTACAAATGTTTAAATAATTCCCAATATACATATCAACAGTAAACATAACCTCAAAGGAAACACATAACACATGGCATCACAGATCACCATTAGTGGTCTGTGCATGGCATGACAGACATACAAATTTTTAGTTGTATTGTTTGTGCCGTCATAAATATTAATTTATCAAATATCAAATTATATTTTTTTAATTCTAGTTATTATTTTAACAGGTTAAGGATGTTAAAATGTTCCCCTGGACTAAAGCAATATTAGACAAAATTTTAACATTTAATCCGCATTCAAATCGAATCACCACCATTTTAATAGTTTAAAAAAAATAGACCGGTCACCGGTGTCTGCTTTGGCCTGGCGCGAACTTCGTATGGACACCGGTGTCCGCCATGGCCCACCAGAGACGTTCGAAACGAGCGGACCAATATTCATCAAGGTGTCCGATGACGCGACGGTGCCAGTCTAGTGTTGCTTATCGCTACAAGTAAGTTTCATACATAATTGTTTAGTTTTACAACGACTCAAAAGCTTTACACATTTGAACATAGGAATAGTGCGATTTATGGGAATAGTGCGAATAGTGAATTCCATTTGGGATTCTTGGTCAACGAAGTGGATGTTCAAAAATAATGCTGCTCCTAATAATATGAGCAGCAACCAGTTTGAGTTACTTCTGAAAATGTGGCACTTCTCAGATAACTCTAAGTGCCCAGAAGGAAACCGACGGTATAAAATGATAAGCAACTAAATGGTATATAAGCAACCACTTATATAGCAATTCATAAGCAACTATCAAAAAATATTTACACCAGGGAAAACATTTTGCATCGATGAAAACAAGGTACCGTTTTAGGGATGTTTACTCTTCAAGCAGTATAATCCAAAAAAGTGCCATAATTATGGCATTAAAATATTTTAATTATTTACTCAGAATGGTTATACGTGGAACCTAAATGTATATGCAGGGAAAGAGAAGTAAGGTGAATTAGCAGCATCTACCAGACTAGTGCTAAAATTGTCGCAAGGTCTCTTAGGGTCTGGTAGAATTTGTATAACTCGTAACTGGTAAACAAGCCTTCAATTAGCTCACATACTTTTGGATAATATCACCCATTGTCTCGGAACAGCCGAAATAATAAATATAAAACTTAAAAAGGTGAATTAATTGCCAGAGAAAAATGTGTCCTCAAGTGGCACGACAAAAAAAATATTTTGGTTTTATCCACCTACCACAACGTTGAAATGGTCCAACTTCAACGTCGGGGACATAATATTCAAAAACCGAAAGCGGTAATTGATTACAATTAAGGTAAAATTTCCATTGACTCCGTTCAGATGTCGAGTTACGGTACGGCACTGCGACGAACTGCCCGTAGGTACAAAAAAAGTTATAGAAATTTTATTAGGTACTTCAATTGTTAATGCCTATTTCATTTACAAGGAGGCCTGTACGTACTGCAAAAGTAAACCCCAATGCTCATGTATTTACAAAATTAGACTGCACGACACGAGAAAATAGATGGTACTGCAAGGGAAGTTACAAGAGAAAACAGCCCTGATGGACTGATAGATAAAAATTAAGTGAAGAAAGTAATAACGTACTGCGCGCAGTGCGAAAATAGTCCTAAGTTTTGTCTAAAATATTTCAATTTATTTCACAAACCTCATTATTTTTTTTTAAATAAATGTATTTACATACCTATAATATTATAGATATATATTTCTATAGCTTATTGGTTGAATAATTTTTTTATGAATTGTAGGTATTCTTATTTATATAGGTACTTAATGAAAGACCTGAAGTTTGTTTTTACACCAGATTTTTCTAATAGGAATTGCTACACAGAACCTGCTACATTATTGCTGGGCCATAGCGGTTACATTCCTATGTTAAAACCGCATAAAATCGTGTTCTCGCAGTCGGGTTAGGATGATAATAAATTTTTTTGGGTCCCTAAAGAATGCTTTCAATCGTGAATGCGACTTGTATCTGAGAACTCATACTCATGAAAAGATCACACATTTTGAACTTGCTTCCATTTTTAACAGAGCATACCTGAGAGTTGCCACGATGGACAAAAGAATATCTGGGTTCCGTGCTGCTGGAATATGGCCCATAGATCCTAATAAATTCTCTGAAGATGATTTCAGCTTAGTAGATCACACTGAAGTTTCAGATATGCACGTTGTAATGAAACCGACGTTACCAATAATGACGGGGCCCTTGATCAGTCGAGATGTGACGAAACTCTGCAGAGAACTCCACCAAGAAATACCGAACCCCAACCGGGACCATCGAGATGTGATAAAATTATGCACAAGACTCCATCTAATAATGCCAAATTGATATCAAACCAGCAAGCTGCACCCCAGCCTGGAACGTCAGGAAATATTAAAACTCAGTCTAGTATAACCATTGAAAAGCTAGCTCCTCTTCCTTTCAAATTTATAAAGAAAAGTTCCAAAACATGTGCAAAACAACACTCAGAAATTTTCACTTCCACGCCCCTAAAAAACGCAATTAGAAATAAAACAAGAAAAAAGAAATATTAAGAAAAAAGCTGAAGAGGCCAAAAAAATGAAACCAAGAAAAAAAAACGACAGGAACCGTAGGAGAACTATCTACTAAAGCAAATAAACGACCTGTACGCAAGAAAGCTGAAGTTAGAAGTTATATTTTGATGATTTTGAGTTTGAAGTTATAATGAGAGTAAGCTTTGTGATGATGATGAATTAGATGATGTAGATGTAACATTAGAAAATGAGGAGTGTTTGGTGTGCGGTGAATTCGGACAAGACAAAAAAATTTGGTACCGTTGTGTAATTTGTTCTAATTAGGTTCATTCAGAATGTAGTGGTTGGGACTCAGCAGTTAATTATACATGCGATATGTGTGTCAAGGTCGAACGAAACACAGTCAGAAAGTGAAACTATCTCCTTAATGTTTTTTTTTTTAATTTTGTCTTTAAGAAATCTGTTTTGTTTACAATATTTGCTTTATTACAATAAATTTAGATTAAGATAAAGATTTATTTAATTCTGCGCAGAATTCCCCGTACTTGAGGGAATACCGCGCAATGACACTTTTTTAAAGTAAATTTTTTTCTTCAAAATCCGTTAAACTTTAATCCTATTTTTTTTATGGGAATAACGTTCCCAATAGATACAAGTTTCAGTAGTTAAATTATGGAAGTTTGTTTGTACGTAGGAAACTCTTTGTAAGTATTTTACCTTAGGTTCTCAGAATTCCCCCGGTTTCCCCTAATAAAAAAAAACGTAGTTTGACATTTCTTATTTAACATTAGACAAATGTTAAGGGTAGCTAAATAAAATGACTAATAATTGTTGACAGTCTATTACACAATGCATTAAAGAAATGAAAAATACAGGTTGAGATATTTTATTGTGTTTACATAAAAACGGCGTCTCATACGAAAAATAGACACAACATATTTTTTATCACAAATTGAACGGAAATTTAAAAACGATTTTTAACTTAAAATATCTCAGTGATGAACTGCCTTTAAAAATATTCAGACCATTACCTGTATCCGCGCCAATGATGAATAAAGAATTCTCAATATACTCGTATAAAAATTTCAAGCTTACAGCAACAAGTTTTTTTTTCAAATTTCATCTACACCTTCAAAATATATAGGCGTTGATGACATGCAGGACTGATGCGTGCCAGGTGGTGGTTACCGTACTTAGAATGTTTATAAAAATTTGTACTCTTACAAACATAATTGTTGGATTCGACCGTAACTTGATGAAAATTCATTTTATGTAACAATAAAACACTGAAAACTTTGTTTTCAAACTTCCACAAAATTTATTTTAAATTATTACTACAGCTGTTTCGGCTGATTGCCTTTCTCAAGTGACTTGAGTACTTGAATAGTACTCAAGTACTATATAGTGACTAGCAATACATATTGTCAAATGTTTATATTAGGTACCTTGCATAGAGTGCTTCCTCTTAGAATTTTGTAAATGGCAATGAATATTTGTGATTCTTTTTAAAACTTCCATTCTTGATTGGTTAAAAATCATCACCCGATGAAACCTGCAGATTAATTTCGACAAGAAGTGGGTAATATTTTCAACCCGGGCGGCTCATTCCATTCTGGTACATAGAGTGGGAATTAATATGTGCGATTTGTGAAAAGTTCCATCAAGTATGGTTTTCTATTTTTTCATAAGTTTTTTTGGTAAAAATTTTTAGTGTAAAAAACACTAACCTTTCTCTCTATTTGTTTACAAATGGAAAAAATACACATCTGTAAATAAACAACACCTTTGTCTATTTTCTCTAATATTCCTTTTGGTGGAATTTTTGGGACTTAAGCAATTATTATGGATTTATGAATTATTGATATATGTATTTATTTCATACTTCACGTCATCTCTTGTTAGAATTTTTAATGTACAGACCGCAGAGGCATTTTTATTCTTTTGTGACCAATGTAACAAAGGATCATCCAGATAACTACCCCGTTTCCTATTTATTTTGTTGACAACCCCAACATCGATAGGGGAAAGTTTACAAGGCAAAATTATTTTTTATTGTATTATTAATTAATTTTAAATGTAAATAATTTTGAAATTTTAATCCTTTCTAAGTACTGTAAATATGTAAAGAGTATCAAGAACTGTACTTTATGAAAACATATAAAAAATATTTTTTAGATGCTAGCACATAAAGAAAAATAAAATTAACTTAAATGTAACTTATTACTATACCATTACAAAAGTAGGTCAGAAAGTATAACTGCAAAATAAAAATATTTATATAATGTTTACTTTCATTTAATTAAAGATAGAATCATAGTATTTTTAGAATTTATTATACAGAATGTCCAGTACTGAAATTCCTTAAAAAGTCAAAATAATATAAGTTCACTTTATTCAATGTGGACATTAGACACATGTAAATTTAAAATAAGCGTCTTTCTACTGACTAAATCCTAAGCCTGGTTACACCTTAATAGATTTTAATTAAGTGGATAAGTTTCTAGGCCTTATAATCACTTTTTTTGTTTAACTAAAAGTGTAAACTTCATTTTATGCAAACAGAGTTT